GGGGTGAAGGCTGCAGTGACACAAGATTGTGCCACGGCACTCCAGTCTGGGTGACAGAATGAAGGGGACCTTCTCTCGAAGAAAAAATGGCCTTTTGTCTTCAGTTCTTAAAATAGCTGTAGAAGAGCGAAAGAAATGTCTTTAGTTATTCATAACCATCCCCTTTCTACCACAGCTAAGTTTATGTTAATAAGGAGATTTTTGGAAAGCTCCTACAAACCATAGGATGGGAGGCTAGTTGCCAGGGAAACCAACCATGTGATTAGAGCCTTGAAACTTTCAGCTGTGTCCCCACCTCCAGGGAGGGAAGAGAAAACAAAGTTGAGTTAATCACCAATAGTGAATGATGTGATCAATCATGTCACCATAATAAAGCCACCATAAACACCCAAAAACAGGGCTCAGAGAGCCTTCTGGTTGGTAAATAAGAACATAAGCATGTGCCCAGAGGTATCTCTTCATCTGGCTGTTCATTTGTATTATTTAACATGTCCTTTGCAGGGCTAGGCACAGTGGCTCACGCCTGTAATCCCAGCACTTTGGGAGGCCGAGCAGGGTGGATCAGTTGAGGTCAGGAGCTCGAGACCAGCCTGACCAACATGGTGAAACCCCATCTCTACTAAAAATACAAAAATTGTCCAGGCGCAGTGGTTCACACCTGTAATCGCAGCACTTTGGGAGGCCTAGGTGGGTGGATCATGAGATCAAGAGATTGAAACCATCCTGGGCAACATGTAGAAATCCTGTCTCTGCTAAAAATACAAAAAGTAGCTGCTCCTGGTGGTGTGCGCCTATAGTCCCAGCTTCTCAGGAGACCAAGGCAGGAGAATCTCTTGAACCCGGGAGTGGAGGTTGCAGTGAACCAAGATCACACCACTGCACTCCAGCCTAGGCAATAGAGCAAGACTCTGGCTCAAATAAAAAAAAAATAGCCAGGCGTGATGGTGGGCACCTGCAATCCCAGCTACTCGAGAGGCTGAGGCAGGAGAATCGCTTGAACCCAGGAGGTGGAGGTTGCAGTGAGCCAAGATTGTGCCATTGCACTCCAGCCTGGGCAACAAGAACAAAACTCCGTCTCAAAATAATTAATTAATTAAAAAATAAAATAAAATAAAATATTCGTTGTAGGCTGGGCACAGTGGTTCACACCTGTAATCCCAGGACTTTGGGAGGCAAGGCAGGTGGATTGTGTGAGGTCTGGAGTTCAAGACCAGCCTAACCAACGTGGTGAAACCATTTTTTTTTTTTTTTTTTTTTAGATGCAGTTTCACTCTGTCATCCAGGTTGGAGTACAAGTGGCATGATCTCAGTTCACTGCAACCTCCGCCTTCCAGGTCCAGGCAATTCTCCTGCCTCAGCGTCCCAAGTACCTGGGATTACAGACATGCACTACCATGCCTGGCTAAAAAAATGTTTTTAAAAAAAATTAACCACGCATGGTGGCACACACCTGTAGTCCCAGCTACTAGGAAGGCTGAGGCAGGAGGACTGCTTGAGCCTGTGAGGTCAAGTATGCACTGAGCTGTGATCTTCCCACTGCACTCCAGCCTGGGTGACAGAACATAATAATACAATACAATAATAATAATAGTAATAATGGAACCTCTCAGTATTAAAGTCCAAATGTGTGTCACCACATATACTGAGTGCTGTCAAAAACTGAAAACTCAGGCCAGGTGTAGTGGCTCACACCTGTAATCCCTGCACTTTGGGAGGCTGAGGCAAGAGGATTGCTCAAAGCCAGGAGTTTGAGACAAGCCTGGGCAACATAGTGAGAACCCTGTCTCCAAAAACAAAACAAAACAAAAAGTAACAGGAACAGTATAGCATCTGCAGACAGAGAAGTAGCAGCAAATCAGTGGAGGCCAGGACTGATATTTCCATAGCCACCATGACCGTCCCTATCTGGGATTTCGGTAGACAGGAAGGATGGTGACCTAGACACTGAAAAATACCAGCATGCTAAACTTAAGGATTGGCCTCACTGAAAATGTCACACAAGCTCCTGGCCAGAAAAGCCACACTGAAGCTCCCATGAGTCAAGGAACCCAGGATTCACGAAATAGTCAATAACCAAATTGTGGTTTTATGTGATGACGTTTTCAGGCTCATATTATGTATCCATATGCGTGAAGGCTGTAGTCATTCCCCATGAAATTCCTCCCAAAGTGTTGGGATTAGAGACTTACTTAGATCAGGGAATAGGTAGCAATGATGGACTTGGGTACCCCTGATACCAACCAGTGCCTTATCCCTCTCTTGTATGGTAACCTTGAAGGTCAGAACTGCAGTGATCATTTTGGCCAAACTATGCAAACAAGTAAACATAGCTCCAAATATATGGTTTTTATGGTTTTTTCTTTTTTGAGACAGGGTCTGGCTCTGTTGCCCAGGCTGGAGTGCAGTGGCACCATCACAGGTCACTGCAGCCTCAACGTCCGTCCCAGGTTGAAGCCATCCTCCCGCCTCAGCCTCCCGAGGAGCTGGGACTATAAGCACATGCCATCATGCCTAGCTAATTTTATTTATTTATTTATTTATTTTTGGGACAGAGTCTCACTCTGCTGCCCAGGCTGGAGTACAACAGTGTGACCTCAGCTCACTGTAACTTCTGCCTCCTAGATTCAAGTGATTCTCGTGCCTCAGCCACCCAAGCAGCAGGGATTACAGGCATGCCCCACCAGGCCCAGCTAATTTTAAAAATATTTTTAATAGAGATGAGGTTTCACCATGTTGGCCAGGTTGGTTTGAGCTCTTGGCTTCAAGTGATCTGCTCACCTCACCTCCCAAAGTGCTGAGATTACAGGCATGAACCACTGTGCCCGACCAATTTTTAAATTTTTTTGTAGAGACAGAGTCTCACTACGTTGCCCACACTGATCTCGAACTCCCAGACTCAAGCGCCCCTTCCACCTCAGTCTCCCAAAGTGCCAGGATTATAGGCATGAGCCACTGCACCCAGCCAAATTTAATATTCCAAAGGATGCAAGTGGCTGTAATGGGATGGCCAATGAAGGTAAGCGGCAATGAAGTTACAGGATGGGGGCAATGAACAGGACATACCTGAGGGCCTCGTTATTGGCCTTGACTATGGGAGTGTCCTGATGCTTCACAAAGACCCCAAGAACCCCCCACAAAGAGGCCACAGAAGCACAGGCCCAAAAAGTCATTATAAACCAGGAAGGTTGCCACACTGACAGGTAGCCATCTTACTTACAGTTTGAGTCTTGACGTTTTGTCCATGGTGTACACTGTTCTGCATCTGATTAGAAAGGGGAGGATGCATTTTGTGAGTTACATTTGACAACTGTGGATGCATTGTTTCCCCTGCATCTACCTGTACACACAAAGCTACAAGAAGGGTGGGTCATGAGAGTTTTCAAGACTACACTGTCTCCTCTATAGTGGGGAAAATGAAACATGTTTCTACTTTAAAACAATTTTTAGAGACACTCTCTCTCTCCCTCAGGCTGGAATGCAGTGGCACAATCTTGGCTAACTGTAACCTCAAACGCTTGGCATTAAGTGATCCTCCTGCCCCAGTCTCTGAAGTAGCTAGGACTACAGGTGAACACCATGCCCAGCTAATTAAAAAAAAATTTTTAATGGGGTCTTGCTATGTTGCCCAGGCTGGTCTTGGACTCTTGGCCTTTCAATGCTCTGTAGGCACACTCTGGAAAACTTATTTGAGATAAATTTCCTTCCACTTTACAGCAACACAGGTCATCATCCTAAGTGCAATGATGCAGAAACAGAAAGTCAAAAACTGCATCTTCTCACATGTAAGTGGGAGCTAAACAACAGGTAAACATGGACAAACAGAGTGGAATAAGACATTGCAGATGCCAACAGGTTGGAGAGAGAGAGGGGATGAGGGATGAAATATTACCTACTGTGTACAATATGAACTATTGGGTGATGAGTGTACCAAGTCAGACTTCACCCCTATGAAATAAATCCATGTAACACAAGTGCATTTGTAACCATAAATCTACAAAAAGAAAAATAAAAATAGAAAGCAATAAAAACATGCTTAAACTAAAAAAAAAAAAAAAAAAAAAAAAAAAAAAAAAAAAATTCCTTCCAGAGTAAAATACAGTTTACTGAACACGTCTCATAGATTCATAGATGTGGTTGGTCTGAAAAGGGTCCCTGTGACCAGGTTAGGGTTGCAATTTCCCACCAGAGCCAAGTGCTCAAGTGTCCTACGGTTTCTTTTTTCTTTCCTTTCCTTTTTTTTTTTTTTTCCCTTGAGACGGGTTCTGGCTATGCTGCCCAGACTGAACTCAAAGTCCTGGCGTCACGTGATCCTCCCACCTCAGCCCATCCACCGTCCCCCCACCCCCACGCTCGCGCCACCCCAAGTAGCTCTGCCTCAGCCCATCCACCTTCCCCCCACCCCCGCTCCCAGCGGCTGAGACTACAGGTGTGTACTACCACGCCCTAGCTTGGGGTTACTTTTCTAAAGTGCCAAATGTGTGAAGGTGGGAAAAAAAAGGTGGAAGCATCCACGCTGTTAAGGTCAAGGATTAAAATGCAGCCACACTTTTTATTACACATGATGGGGTAACTGTCCGTTTATAAATAAGGGTCACTATTTCATAAGAGGCCTTACAACATTATGCCAAGCCCCTAGTACCTGGAGCACATCAGACCCTCCTGTTCCTGTGCGGCCTTGAGTAGACGACCACTTGCTCTGGGCTTGCTCCTCGAGGGGTCGCTCCATCTGGAAACTGAGACTGGAATTCCTGCGCATCCCTGTCCCCGCATCCAGAAACACTGTAGGAAGGCTTCCGTGTCCGACCCGAGATCCGGAACAATTTCTGCTTCCACACAATTGTCCACGGAGGGCACTAGTTCCGTCCCACTGGCGGAAGCGGGGTCTGCCTAGCTACAAGACCTGCCGCCTAGCTGTCATTTGGACAAAAGGGGGCGGGGCTGTATTAATTGCCCAATCAGAGGCGCCACCGGAAAGAAGGGTACAGCTTCGCTGCGCAAATGCGTGTTACGTCACTATGCGATCGGATTGTGCTCAGTTTACCGTCTCCTGGCCCGTTGATGCGTCAGGTTGCTGTTTACCTGCATCTGATGCGCTGTATCCTGTGCTGGCAGCGTGAGCCGTAGGGACGACACCGGGAAACCCCTGAGGCCAGAAAATGGTGAGTGTGCAGGGCCGGACTGGTTGGAACCAGCCGTTGTCGTGGGACCCGGGCCTCCCCATGGTCACCTCCGGCCGGCAGCAGTGTGGGCTGGGCTGGCAGCCGGGACTCCAACCGTCCTGTCCCGTCCCCGCGCGGCGACTGCGGTCCCAGCCCCGGAGCCCTCCCTCTCTGGGCAGCTCTGGGCCCACAGCCCCGCGTCTTTCCCACATTGTGCAGGAACTACGGGAGGGCCATGGGAGAGTCCCGCCTTGTGTGTGGGGTTTGTGTGGGAGGAGCTACAGTCTGTGGGGTCCCCAGTCCCTACTTTCTTCCCAAAGGCGATTTCCCCGAGTCTTACAAAGATGTTGGAAGCAGAGCCTCAAATCCACTACCCTGTCCCCCAGCCTAGCTCCTCCTACGGCAGCTCATAAATCCCTGAATTTCCAGATCCCTCCCCGCATTCCCAAACACCTGCTTCCCCCTCCAATGGAAAACATCATCGCCAACTCTTTGTCCTGCGTGGTGCATTTCAAACACATGCAGTATTTTAAAAATCTTTTTTCCTATGGATGCCTCTTTTAAAAGATTTATTTCTTGTTTGTGGATATTTTACATGAGAGAAAAATCAGGAAAATTATTTACTTGGAACTACTCTGCATAAAATGCTATGCCTCTCATTCTGGCATCTTTCCAGGGCACAGATATCCTATGGGAACTCCTTTGGGTTGAGATTCCTTTTTGTAAACATTCTTGGGTGATCTCTCCTTTCAGCACAGTTTCAGATTGGCATTGTCCCACCTTAGGTTTATGACCTTGAAAAGATATATTCACTTGAATGTAATTTTTCCGATAAATATAAAATATATGGTATCAGAAGAACTTGAGAGACAGTATATTTCCAAAGAGACAAAAAAGAAGTGAATCTCAAAAAAAAAAATCCCAGTATTACGTGTTAAAAATTCTTTGTTCTTCGCCTGAGCACGTGGAATATGTTTCTAAGGTCTGTTCTTTTAGTTCAATGATTTTCTTTTCTTTTCTCTTTTTCTTTTTTTTTTTTTTTTTGAGACGGAGTCTTTGTTGCCCAGACTGGAGTGCAGTGGCTCAATCTCGGCCCACTGCAACCTCTGCCTACTAGGTTCAAGCAATTCTCCTGCCTCAGACTCCTGAATAGCTGGGATTACAGGTACCCACCACCATGCCCAGCTAATTTTTGTATTTTTAGTAGAGACAGGGTTTCATCATGTTGGCCAGGCTGGTCTCGAACTCCTGACCTCAGGTGATCCACCTGCCTTGGCCTCCTAAAGTTCTGGGATTACAGGCATGAGCCACTGTGCCTGGCCAGTTTGATGATTTCAGACGGTATTCCAGGACTTAAACTTGCAACACCTAGAAGCATTCAGATATGAGTAATACTTTAGCAAACTGTTCCCTGCCATGGAAATAATTAAGTGACATTATCATTTTCTTTTCTTTTCTTTTCTTTTTAAAGATGGGGTCTGGCTGTGTTGCTCAAGCTGGTCTTGAACTCCTGGGCTCAAGCAATCCGCCAGCCTCAACATTTCAAAGTGCTAAGATTACAGGCATGAGCTACTATGCCCGGCCCGACATTATCATTTTCTGAAAGCAGTAGTGGGTTTTCTTGTTGTTAGCAAAAGTGCCTTAAAATTTTCTTACTTCCTTTTTACATAAACACTGGGTTTGAGTTATTCTGCTAGATTTCTTTTTTTTTTTTTTTTTTTTTTTGATCAAGACTGAGTCTTGCTCTGTTGCCCAGGCTGGAGTGCAGTGGTGCAATTTTGGCTCATTGCAACTTCCACCTCCCGGATTCAGGTGATTCTCCTGCCTCAGCCTCCTGAGAAGCTGGGATTACAAGCATGCGCCACCATGCCTGGCTAATTTTTTTCTATTTTTATCACCATGTTGGAAAATGGAAACCTGGGGAAGCTAATGTTTCTTTGCTACCAAAGGAGAGAAGGAGGTGTGGAGCTCTCGTAGTTCCTTGCTGATCAGTTGATCCTATTCTCCATTACCAGGGACTGACCCACTCTAGGGGTTACATTTTTCAAGGTGGGAGAGTCTAGGTCCAAGCTTGGGAATATATTTAACCTTTGTTTTTGTTTTTTTGAGACAGAGTTTTGCTTTTATTGTCCAGGCTGGATTGCAATGGCATGATCTCAGCTCACCAACCTCTGGCTCCCAGGTTCAAGTGATTCTGAGTAGCTGGGATTATAGGCATGTGCCACCACGCCCAGTTAATTTTGTATTTTTTGTAAAGACAAGCTTTCTCCATGTTGGTCAGGCTGATCCTGAACTCCTGACCTCAGGTGATCCACTCGCCTCGGCCTCCCAAAGTACTGGGATTACAGGTATGAGCAACTGGGCCTGGCCTTTTTTTTTTTTTTTTTTTTTTTTTTAAATACAGTGTCTCACTCTGTTGCCCAAGCTGGTCTGGAACTCCAGGACTCAGGCCATCCTCCCACCTCAGTCTCCCATGTTTAACTTTTTTTTGAGACAGGGTCCCACTCCTTTTCGCCCAGGCTGGAGTGCAGTGGTGTGTGATCATGGCTGACTGCAGCCTTTACCTCCTAGACTCAGGTGAACCTCCTGCCTCCTCAGAATAGCTGGGACTACATGTGCGTGCCACCATGCCCACTTAATTTTCGTATTTTCTGTAGAGATGGGGTTTCGCCATGTTGCTCAGGCTGGTCTTAAACTCCTGGGCTCAAGCAGTTTGCTTGCCTTGGCTTCCTACTGCGCCTGGCCTCCCACAACTTCTTGACATCCAAAGATATTGTTGCTGTCTTACAGTTTTCTGTTTTCCAGAATGTAATACACTTGGAGTTATTCAGGATGTAGCCTTCTCAGATTGGCATCCTTCACTGAGCAATGTACTTTGAAGGTCCTTCTGTGTCTTTAAGGCTTGATACCTGGCTTCTCTTACCATGGAACAGTATTTCATCATAAGATTGTACCACAGATTGTTTATCCATAAACCTGTTGCAGGATGTCTTGGTTAAGTCCTAAAATTGGCAGTTATGAAAAAATTTCCCATAAATATTCATGAGCAGGCTTTTGTGTAAACAGTTTTCAACTCATGTGAGTAAACAGCAAGGAATATGATAAGAGAATGTGGTCCTCTGGTAAGAGAACGTTTTGTTTTGTGAGAAACTGCCTATCTTCCAAAGTGGACCTACCATTTCCCATTCCCACCAGCAAAGGAATCAGGATTCCTGTTGCCTGCATCTTTGCTATCCATTGCTGTTCTCAGTATTTTGAACGTTGTCCATTCTAATGTGTAAGTGATATCTCTTCAGTTTTATTTGCAGTTCTCTAATGACATATAATGTGGAGCATCTCTTCATATGTATATTTGCCATCTGCATATCTTTCATTGGTGAGATGTGTGTTTAGGTCTCTTGCCCATTTTTCATTGGGTCGTTTGTCTTATTATTGTTGAGATTTAAGAGTTCTTTGGAGACAGGCGTGGGGGGTGCACACTTGTCATCCTGGCTACTCCAGAGGCTAAAGTGGGAGGATTACTTGCATTGCAGAGTGCAAGCCCAGCATGGGCAGCATAATGGATCCTGTTTCAAAAAAAAAAAAGGAGACCAGGCATGGTGGTTCATGTGAGGCCACCCAGGCTGCCAGGCAGTGGGGCTGAGGAGTGGTGGGCTGAGGCCAGGACTGGAGCTGCCACGGGATTGGAAAAAAAACAAAATTAGCCCAGTGTGGTGGGGCACCCCTGTAGTCCCAGCTACTTGGGAGGCTAAGGCATGAAAATTGCTTGAGCCTAGGAGGCATAGGTTGCAGTGAGCCAGGATTAAAACACTGCACTCCACCCTGGATGACAGAGCAAGACTGTCTCAAAAAAAAAAGAAAAAGAAAAACACGGAAGCCGAGCACAGTGGCTCACACCTGTAATCCTAGCATTTTGCGAGGCCAAGGTGGGTAGATCACAAGGTCAGGAGTTTGAGACCAGCCTGGCCAACATGGTAAAACCTCATCCCTACTAAAAATAAAAAAACATTAGGTGGAGCATGGTAGCGCATGCCTGTAGTCCCAGCTACTTGGGAGGCTGACGCAGAAGAATCGCATGAACCCAGGAGGTGGAGGTTGAAGTGAGCTGAGATCGAGCCACTGAATTCCATCTCATCAAAAAAAAAAAAAAATGAAACTAAAAAAAAAAAAAAAAAATGGAAAAAAGAAAAAACAGGGAGATCTTTACTTTAGATACTAGTCCTTAATCAGATAAGTGCTTTTGTGAAGATTTTCAAAAATCTCTCTGTGCCTTTTATTGTTATTCTTTTAACACTTGCTTTCATAGAGTACGAGGTTTTCATTTTAATGAAGTGAAACTTATTTTTTCCTTTCATAAATTGTGCTTTTGGTGGTTTATCTCAAAATTCATCACTAAAGCCAAGTGGATAGTTTTGCATTTTAAATTTACATCTGTAATTGATTTGGGCTTAATTTTTGTGAAAGGTGTAAGATCCATGTATACATTTTTTGTGGGTGTGTGTGAGTTTAGTATAAATTTCACTTAGGCACTGTTTTTGTTGCATTCCACAAATTTTGATAAGTTCTTTTTTCATTTAATTCAAATTTAATTTTTTTGTGTTATTTAGACAGAGTCTCACTGTGTCACCCAGGCTGGAGTGCAGTGATACAGTCTTAGCTCACTGCATTCTCTACCTCCTGGGTTCAAGCAGCAGCTCTCCTGCCTCAGCCTCCCAAGTAGCTGAGATTACCAGCAAATGCCACCACCACCTGGCTAATTTTTGCTTTTTTTTTTTTTTTTTTTTTGAGTCAGAGTTTCATTCTTGTTGCTCAGGCTGGAGTGCAATGGCATGATCTCAGCTCACTGCAACCTACACCTCCTGGAATCAAGCAATTCTTCTGCCTCAGCCTCTTGAGTAGCTGGAACTATGGGCATGCACCACCACGCCTGGCTAATTTTGTGTTTTTAGTAGAGACAGGGTGGTCCTGAGCTCCTGACCTCAAGTGATATGCCCACCTCAGCCTCCCAAAGTGCTGGGATTACAGGCATGAGCCACTGCACCCAGCCCAAATTTAATTTTTCTTGAAACTTTTTTGATTCGTGTTTAGAACGGTGTTGGGTTTTATTTCCAAATAATTGATGGTTTTCTAACTGTTCTTCTGTTACTGATTTCTAGATTAATGCCATGGTGGTCTGAGAGCATATTTTATATAATGTATATTCTTTCAAAACCATGTTCTGTCCACAACATGGTTTATCTTTGTGAATGTTCCAGGTGAACTTGAGAAGCACATATGTTGTTCTGTTGGGTGAAGCATTCCATGGATTTAATTAAACCCAATTGTTGCCTTTCAACTAAACTATGTCCTTTCTATCTGCTGGAACTCTTTTTTTTAAGACAGAGTATCACTCTGTCACCCAGGCTGGAATGGAGTGGTACAGTCTCAGCCCACTGCAACCGCCATCTCAGCCTCCTGAGTAGCTGGAACTACAGGTACATGTCACATGCAGGGCTAAATTTTGCCTTTTTTTTTTTTTTCTTTTGAGATGAAGTTTTGCTCATATTGTCCAGGCTGGAGTGCAATAGCTCAATCTCAGTTCACTCCAGCAACCTCTGCCTCCTGGATTCAAGCAATTCTCTTGCCTCAGCCTCCCGAGTAGCTGGGATTACAGGCACCCACTACCACGCCCAGCTATTTTTTTGTATTTTTAGTAGGCAGGGTTTCAGCGTGTTGGTCAGGCTGGTCTTAAACTCCTGACCTCAGGTGATCCACTCACCTCAGCCTCCCAAAGTGCTGGGATTACAGGCGTCAGCCATCGCGCCCAGCCTAAATTTTGCCTTTTTTGTAGAGATGGGGTTTCACCATGTTGCTTAAGCTGCTCAAGCAGTCTACCCACCTTGACCTCCCAAAGTGCCAGGATTACAGACATGAGCCACTGTGCCCAGCCCCTGACTCTATTTTTTTATTTTTATTTTTTTTTTGAGAGGAGTCTCGCTCTATCACCCAGACTGGAGTGCAATGGCATGGTCTTGGCTCACTTGCAACCTCCGCCTCCTGTGTTCAAGCAATTCTCCTGCCTCAAACTCCCAAGTAGCTGGTATTTTAGGTGCCCGCCACCACGCCTGGCTAATTTTTGTATTTTTAGTAGAGACGAGGTTTTACCATGTTGGCCTGGCTGGTCTCGAACTCCTGACCTCATGACCTGCCTGCCTCAACCTCCCAAAGTGCTGGGATTACAGGCATAAGCCACCATGCTCAGCCCGTTTTTTGATTATTGACTGCTGATAGCCTAAAAGCCTCATCCTTCCTTGTTTCCTTATGCCTCACTTCTGCACAAAGAGACAAGCCTGTGTTCTCCCTTATTTGGCAGAGCCAGAGTCATTTCACACAAGCCTCTACTTTTAGTGTGTGAGTTCTCATCCTAGCTCACCCCCAACCTCAATTAAAAACTCAGGCCAGGCTGGGTGTGGTGGATCACACCTATAATCCCAGCACTTTGGGAGGCCGAGGTGGGTAGATCACAAGGTCAAGAGCTGGAGACCAGCCTGGCCAACATGGTGATACCCTGTCTCTACTAAAAGTACAAAAATTAGCTGGGTGCGGTGGTGGATGCCTGTAATCCCAGCTACTAGGGAGGCTAAAGCAGGAGAATTGCTTGAACCCAGGAGGCGGAGATTGCAGTGAGCCGAGATCATGCCCCTGCATTCCAGCCAGGATGACAGAGCAAGACTGTCTCAACAACAACAAAAAACCCTGGCCAGCTCCTTTCTTTGATCTCTCAAGATGGTTCATACTTCTCAGAGAAGCCTACTTTCCCCTCCACAGAGATCAATTATGAAACTATTAATAAGCCCTTTCATACCATATTGGGACTTGTGCAGTGTCAGCAGCATCAGTTTTGATGTCTGAACCAACCTTCTTTGGGGATGCACCTGCCTTTGCAGGTGACCCCAACAGTTAGAGAAAAGGTAAGATGGCTTTTCCCTAACTGTTATGGGCCCAGTGGCTCACAACTGTAATTCCAGCACTTCAGGAGGCAGAGAGGGGAGGACTGCTTGAGCCCAAGAGTTTAAGAGCAGCCTGAGCCCCAGGAAGAGGCCCTGCCTCTACAAAAATACAAAAACGAGCCAGTGTGGTGGCATGTGACTATAGTCCTAGCTACTTGGGAAGATGAGGCAGGAGTATTGCTTGACATCCAAGCTGCAGTGAGCTGTGATTTTGCCATTGCACTTCAGCCTGGGCAAGACAGCAAGATCCTGTCTCAAAAAAGATAAGATGGTATATATATTGTACCACACTTTACTTAATTGGTCTTTGGATACATTTTTGAGATATTTTCATATCAGTTCATTACACTCTTTAAAAGTTACCTATGATGGTGGCCTTATGTAACTAATTTTTTCTAATTAGACACATTTCCGATTTTTATGGACAGAACTCTGGCTTAAAACAAATTGCCATATAACAGGTCAAACAAACATGTACAAATTTATCATGGAATATATTCAGAAGAGAATAATAAGCTACGTTGTGGAATATTTTAATAACAATATGAACATCCTTGGGAATATCAAGACTCAGAAATAGGCACTGGGGAGTTCCTTAGGGTCTCCCAATGTTCACCTGCCTGGCTCAACTCCATCTCATCCTGTAGTTGGCAACTGTACTGATTCTTCAGTTATTCTTTATACCTTAACCGTCTATTCTTTTTTTTTTCTTTTGAGATGGAGTTTTGCTCTTGTCCCCCAGGCTGGAGTGCAGTGGTGCAACCTCGGCTCACTGCAGCCTCCACCTCCCAGGTTCAAGCGATTCTCTTGCCTCAGCCTCCAGAGTAGTTAGGATTACAGGTGCACACCACCATGCCCAGCTAATTTTTTGTATTTTTAGTAGAGACGAGTTTCACCATGTTGGCCAGGCTGGTCTCAAACTCCTGATCTCAGGTGATCCACCCACCTTGGCTTCCCAAAGTGCTAGGATTACAGGCGTGAGCCACCACGTCTGGCCAACTATTTATTCTTTTTCACAAATATTGTTTTTTTTAAATTTTTGCCATTTCACCCTTGAGTTCATGCAGGTGGTTTAAAAAAAAATTATTTTGCCTCCTTTGAACATTTAATTAGTAGTAATGGAATTACCCTTAAAGGATTTTTTGGAGCCTAGGCAACACAGTGAGACCCATCTTTACAAAAATTAAAAAATTAGCCAGGCATGGTGATGCATGCCTGTAGTCCCAGCTACTCAGGAGACTGAGGTGGGAGGATCACTTGAGCCTGGGAAGTCGAGGATGCTGTGAGCTGTGACTGCACCACTGTACTCTGCCCTGGGCAACAGCGAGACTCTTTCTCAAAAATAAAATAAAGGCTAGGCACAGTGGCTTACACCTGTAATCCCAGCACTTTGGGAGGCCAAGGCGGGCGGATCACCTGAGGCCAGGTGTTCAAGACCAGCCTGGCCAACATGGTGAAACCCCATCTCTATTAAAATACAAAAAATTAGCCAGCCATGATGGTGCACGCTTGTAATCCCAGCTACTCGGGAGGCTGAAACAGGAGAATTGCTTGCCCAGGAGAGGGAGGCTGCAGTGAACAGAGATCGTGCCACTGCACTCCAGCCTGGGCAACAAGAGCAAAGCTCCAACTCTAAATAAATAAATAAGTGTATAAATAAATTTCTGGTGATTTCTTGACCTCTATTTTTCACGTGCTGGTATCTGAGGCTGCAGGCTCTCCATTTTTTTTTTAATTGTACTTTAATTTCTGGGGTGCATGTGCAGATCTTGCAGGATTGTTGCATAGGTACATACGTGCCATGGTGGTTTGCTGTCTCCATCCCCCTGTCACCTACATCAGGTATTTCTCCAATGTTAGCCCTCCCCAACCACTCCACCCCCTGCTGTCCCTCCCCTAGATCCCCACCTCCCAGCAGACCCCAATGTGTGATGTTCCCCTCCCTGTGCCTATGTGTTCTCATTGTTCAGTACCCATCTATGAGGGAGAACATGTGGTGTTTGGTTTTCTGTTCTTGTGTCAGTTTGCTTAGAATGATGGTTTCCAGATTCATCCATGCCCCTACAAAGGACATGAACTCGTCCTTTTTTATGGCAGCATAGTATTCCATGGTGTACATGTGCCACATTGTCTTTGTCCAGTCTATCATTGATGGGTATTTGGGTTGGTTCCAGGTCTTTGCTATTGTAAACAGTGCCATAATGAACATACGTGTGCATATGTCTTTATAATAGAACGATTTATAATCCTTTGGGCATATACCCAGTAATGGTATTGCTGGGTCAAATGGAATTTCTATTTCTAGATCCTTGAGGAATCACCACACTGTCTTCCACAATGGCTGAACTAATTTACACTCCCACCAACAGTGTAAAAGTGTTCCTATTTCTCCACATACTCTCCGGCATCTGTTGTCTCCAGATTTTTTTAATGACTGCCATTCTAACTGGCATGAGATGGTATCTCAGTGTGGTTTTGATTTGCATTTCTCTAGTGACCAGTGATGATGAGCATTTTTTCATATGTTTGTCGGCCTCATAAATGTCTTCTTTTGGAAGTGTCTGTGTATATCCTTCGCCCTCTTTTGAATGGGCTTGTTTGTTTGTTTGTTGTAAATCTGCTTTAGTTCTTTAATAGATTCTGGATATTAGCCCTTTGTCAGATGCATAGATTGCAAAAATTTTTTCCCATTCTGTTGGATGCTGGTTCACTCTAATGACAGTTTCTTTTTGTGTGGAAGAGGTTTTTAAGTTTTTTTTTTTTTTTTTCTTTTCTTTTTTTTTTTTTTGAGATAGAGTCTCACTCTGTCACCAGGCTAGAGTGCAGTCAGTTCACTACAACCTCCACCTCCCCAGTTCAAGTGATTCCCCTGCCTCAGGTTCCCAAGTAGGTGGGACTGCAGGCACACGCCACCATGCCCGGCTTATTTTTTGTATTTTAGTAGAGACGGGGTTTCACCATGTTGGCCAGGATGGTCTCGATCTCCTGACCTCGTGATCCACCCACTCGGCCTACCAAAGTGTTGGGATTACAGGCGTGAGCCACTGCATCTGGCCCAGGCTGTGCATTCTAAGGATGTGGGGTTTAGGCTTTTTCACAGCTTTGTTTTTGTGTTTGCTTTGTAGAAAATAATGTTCTTACTTTCTTTTGTTTCAGTCTCCAAGTGCAAATGCGTAATAAATTCTCTGGTAGTTGGATAAAAATTACTGGATCATGGTAAAGTTTAAATTTATAAACTCAAAAAAAAAGTGGTGGAGTGTATCAGTAGGTCCTTGATTTGTACATAATTGTCCTCTGTAGTCATCAACACTAGAGTTTTCTTAATCGACTAGTTTTGTCTTTCTACTCAGTATGAAGTGGGAACTATTTGACATTTATTTCCTAATTATCAAGGAGATGAACCTTTTTTTCTTTTTTCTTTTCATTAAAAGGCTATACGAGAAATATTTTTTTTTTTTTGGCTGGAGTGCAGTGACATAGTTATGGCTCACTGCAGCCTTGACTTCATGGGCTCAAGCAATCCTTACCCTCCCAAGTAGCTGAGACCAGAGGCGTGTACCACCATACCTGGCCAATTTTTGTATTTTTTGTAGATACAGGGTTTCACCAGGTTTCCCAGGCTGGTCTTGAACTCCTGGGCTCAAACAATCCACCCATCTCAGCCTCCCAAAGTGCTGGAATTATAGGCATGAGCCATCATGCCTGGCAAAATATTTATTTTCTATTAAATGTAAATGTAGATAAACCTTACCGAGAACATCCAGGCATGCATATGGACTTTTCATGACGGAGAGTTCCCTAGAGCCAAATTTCTTCCTGCTCAGACCCTAGTCCTAATGACTTAAGAAAACCCCTTCTAAACTGTGAAGAAAATTCCTCTATGTGAATCTTTCCATGTATAGTGCACATGAGTGCACGGAAATGAGAGAACCTGGGAGAACAGTCCCTAGAGTATCTGCCTGGGAATCACTTCCTTCTGAAACTGGAGAAAAACTCTCTGTTCTTTTTTTATTTTTATTTTTTGAGATGGAGTCTCACTCTGTAGTCCAGGCTGGAGTGCAATGGCACTATCTCAGCTCACTGCAACCTCCATCTCCCAGGTTCAAGCGATTCTCCTGCCTCAGCCTCTTAAGTACCTGAGACTACAGGTGCCTGCCACCACGTCTCGCTAATTTTTGTATTTTTAGTAGAGACAGGGTTTCACCATGTTGGCCAAGCTGGTCTCAAACTCCTGACCTTAGGTGATCTGCCCACTTCGGCCTCCCAGAGTGCTGTGATTACAGCCTTGAGCCACCGCACCCAGCTGAGATTTTATGTTCTTTTGGAGGTATGAAATTATCTGTTATGTAATTTTATAATCATAGGCAAATTCACTATCAGACCATTGTGGCCATCAATGAAGTCCCCTGCAAACTGATACTCTCAGCCTATTCTTCAAGGTCAGCAAAGCCCAGATTCCATGATTATGGATCTTCCAGAAAGTGCTCCTCTGACATTTTATCTCAATTTTTATATGTTTGTGTAATAAAAATTGTTGGAAGTAGTTCTGAGGCTCATGGGCATAAGGATTTTGTGAAGGTCTGTTAGTGCCCTCTTCCTGTGCCTGAGCTCTGTCTTCCCGATAACTTCCTAGCCTCATGAAATGGGACAGAAAGTAAAAGGAAACTGTGTCTGTGATAAATATTACACACATAGCCAGGCTTGGTGGCTCATTCCTATAATCCCAACACGTAGGGATATATATATCAGAAACAAGTTGAAATTAATACATCTCTAAAAGAGTATTTCCATTCAGCCAGCAGAATCTTGAGCGCTCCTAAATGGCCTCAAATACTTCAGGACAATATGGGGAGCTAGACCTTTTTACAAGTTGGGTTTCCACAAGCCTCCTGGCCTCTCATGTGTAACAAAGGGAAGGGAAGATTCTTAATGTGTATTTACTTACTAAAACCTTCACCTTGTGTAATCCCGCATCTTAAGGAATGCTGAATGATTTGGGTAATAAGAAATTAGGCTTTGGGCTGGGTATGGTGATTCTTACCTGTAATCACAACACTTTGGGAGGCCCAGACAGGAGGAACGCTTCAGGCTGAGAGTTCAAGATCAACCCGGACAACATAACAAAACCCCATCTCTAACAAAAAACATTTTTTAATTAGCTGGGTGTGGTGGTACACATATGTAGTCCTAACTACTTGTGAATCTGAGGCAGGAGGATCTGTTGGGGGCCCAGGGGTTTGAGGCTATAGTGAGTTATGATTGCTGCACTTGAGCCTGGGTGACAGAGCAAGACCCTGTCTCTTAGAAAACAACAAACAAACAAGAAATAAGAGTTGATCTCATAAAGAATTGAAGATCTTACCTGTAATCCAGCACTTTGAGAGACCAAGTCCGGTGAATCGCTTGAGCTGAGGAGTTTGAGACCAGCCTGGGCAACATGGGAAAACCCATCTCTACAAAAAATACACACAAAATACTTAGCCAAGTGTAGTGGTGTGTTCCTATAGTCCCAGCTACTCAGGAGGCTGAGGTTGGAGGATTGCTTAAGCCTGGGAGGTCTAGGCTCCAGTGAGCTGTGATTGTACTACTGTACTCCAAGCCTAGGCAGCAGAGCAAGACGATCTATGGCTCAAAAAGAAAGAATAAAAAAGGCCAGGCACGATGGCTTACGCCTGTAATCCTAACACTTTGGGAGGCCAAGATAGGTGGATCACTTGATGTCAGGAGTTCGAAAGCAGCCTGGCCAACATGGCAAAACCCCATCTCTACTAAAAATACAAAAGTTAGGCTGGGCGTGGTGGCTTACACCTGTAATCCCAGCATTTTGGGAGTCCTAGGCAGGCAGATCACAAGGCCAAGGGATCAAGACCATCCTAGTCAACATGGTGAAACTCCGTCTCTACTAAAAATATCAAAATTAGCCAGGCATGGTGGTGCATGCCTGTAGTCTCAGCTACTCGGGAGGCTGAGTCAGGAGAATCACTTGAACCCGGGAAGCAGAGGCTGCAGTGAGCCAAGATCACACCACTGCAGTTCAGCCTGGTGACAGAGTAAGACTGCATCTCAAAAAAAAAAAAAAAAAAAAAATTAGCTGGGCGTGGTGTCGGGTGCTTGTATAGTATTTCTTTCATTTTTCTTTACAAGTCGAACTAGACACTACTATTGGAGAGCAATAAGCCTTATAGTGATCACAGTAAAGATGTAGCTGTAAGTTATGTGTTCAAGGTGCTATTAAATTTCTAACAATTGAGTCATACACTAAATGTTTGGAGACCACAAAATCATGTGTGAACCTCTTATGAATTGAGTACACCTCTCATCCTGGTCAGTCTCACCCATTCTCCTCTACATATATTGGCTGTTTCAGGACTCAGTGGCTTTTGAGGATGTGTCTGTGAACTTCAGCCAGGAGGAGTGGGCCCTGCTGGCTCCTTCACAGAAGAAACTCTACAGAGATGTGATGCAGGAAACATTCAAGAACCTGGCCTCTATAGGTAAGGATGACATCATTTTTTCCTTTTTTTTATTTTTATTTTTTTTTTGAGATGGAGTCTTGCTCTGTTCCCCAGGCTGGAGTGCAGTGGTGCAACCTCAGCTCACTGCAACCTCTGCCGCCTGGGTTCAAGAGATTATCCTGCCTCAGCCTCCCAAGTAGCTGGGATTACAGGCACCTGCCACCACGCCCGGGTAATTTTTGAGTTTTTAGTACAGACCGGGTTTCACTATGTTGGCCAGGCTGGTCTCACTCCTGACCTCAGGTGATCCACCCGCCTTGGCCTCCCAAAGTGCTGGAATTATAGGCATGAGCCACCACATCCAGCTGACATCATTTTTCATATAGTCAATTAGAGAACTAGCATTTCTTGCTCATTATCACTATTCCAGGATTTGGAATCTGAAAAGGGAATACTTCAGTAAATAAACCAGGCATGGTTACAGCTTTTTTTTTTTTTTTTTTTTCCAGACCACTTAGGGAGATACAGCTTATTTTGAACCTAGAATCTAATAATATTTGTATGATTTTTAATAATTTATTATGATTATTCTGGATCTATACTTTAGGGAAAAAATGGGAAGACCAGAACGTTGAAGATCAGCACAAAAACCAGGGGAAAAATCTAAGGTGAGTTGCACTCACAAGAGATAGCAGTGTTCCTTGAAAGAATCTTAAAAATGTCAGGACACTTTTAAAACAAGAAATAAGCTCAGCTCCAACTGTATTTATTTATTTATTTTTGTTATTATTTTTTCTTGAGAGGGAGTTTTGCTCTGTTGCTCAGGCTGGAGTGCAGTGGTATGATCTCAGCTCACTGCAGCCTCCACCTCCCAGGTTCAAGTGATTCTCCTGCCGCAGCCTCCTGAGTAGCTGGGATCGCAGGCATGGGCCACCACCCCCAGCTAATTTTTGTTTTTAGTAGAGACAGGGTTTTGCTATGTTGGCCAAGCTGATCTCAAACTCCTGACCTCAGATGATTCACCTGCCTCAGCCTCCCACAGTGCTGGGATTACAGGTGTAAGCCACCGAGTCCCAAATTTATTTATTTTCAGAAAATGTTTAACAAAATTGTTTTCTCAAGTGACACAGATGTCCACTGATTGAAAAATACTGTACTTGGGCTGGGCACTGTGGCTCATGCTTATAATCCCAGCACTTTGGGAGGCTGAGGCGAGTAGATCACGAGGTCAGGAGTTTGAGACCAGCCTGGCCAACATAGTGAAACCCTGTCTCTACTAAAAATACAAAAATTAGCTGGGCATGGTGGCACACACCTATAATCCTAGCTACTCAGGAGGCTAAGGCAGGAGGATCACTTGAACCTGGGAGGCAGACGTTGCAATGAGCCAAGACTGCACCACTGCACTGCAGCCTGCACAACAGAGCGAGACTCCATTTCAAAAAAAAAAGAAAGAAAGAAAAATATTGTCCTTGGAAACAGTTTTTGTTTGTTCATTTATTTTGTGAGAGTCTCACTCTGTCACCCAGCTGGAGTGCAGTGGTGTGATCTCATCTCACTGTAACCTTTATGCCCTGGGTTCAAGCAATTCTCCTGCCTCAGCCTCCTGAGTAGCTGGGATTATAGGTGCACACAACTACACCAGGCTAATTTTTGTATTTTTTGGTAGAGACAGGGTTTCACCATGTTGGCCAGGCTAGTCTCAAACTCCTGAGCCCAAGTGATCCACCCCTCTGAGCCTCCCAAAGTGCTGGGATTACAGGCATGAGCTACCATGCCCAGCCTTGGAAACAGTATTTTAAAGCCTCATATATAACTTTAGGACGCCAATGTAGGCAGATCATTTGAGCTCAGGAGTTCGAAACCAGCCTGGGCAACAAGACAAAACCCTATCTCTACAAGAAATAGAAAAATCAATTGGTCATGGTGATGCACACCTGTAGTCCCAGCTACATGGGAGGCTGAGGTGGAAGGATGGATTGAGCCCAGGAGATCAAGCCTGCAGTGAGCCGTGATTCCATCACTGTACTCCAGTCTGGGCGACAGAGCAAGACTGTCTCAAAACAAAACAAAAACCATACATCAATATTATCGTTTTGATAATAGCTATCAGTGACACAAGCCCTCTTGGATAACATTGAGTATATTCATTTTCAAACACTTCAGCTGGGCACGGTGGCTCATGCCTGTAATCCCAGCACTTGGGGAGGCAGAGGCAGGTGGATCACCTGAGGTCAGGAGTTCAGGACCAGCCTGCCCAACATGGTGAAACCCCCATCTCTACTAAAAAAAACTACAAATATTAAATGGGTATGGTGGCAGGCGCCTGCAATTCCACCTAGTCAGGAGGCCGAGGCAAGAGAATCACCTGAACCTGGGAGGCAGGGGTTGCAGTGAGCTGAGATCATGCCACTGCACTCCAGTCTACGTCACAAGAACAAGACTCTGTCTCAAAAAAACAAAACAACAAAAACCCAATTCAGACAGGGTAGAAAACGATTTCCCTGAAAATGATAAAAAAATTTAGTTCTGCTGCCAGGAGTGGTAGCTCATGCCTGTAATCCCAGTACTTGGGGAGGCTAAGGAGGGTGGATCACATGAGGTCAGGAGTTCAAGAGCAGCCTGACCAACATGGTCAAACCCCATCTGTACTAAAAATACAAAATTACCTGGGTGTAGTGGCACATGTCTATAATCCCAGCCACTTGGGAGGCTGAGGCAAGAGAATCACTTGAACCCCAGAGGTGGAGGTTGCAGTAAGTTGAGATCACACCATTTCACTCCAGCCTGGGCAACAAGAGCAAAACTTTGTCTCAAAAAAAAAAAAGAAAGAAAGAAATTTAGTTCTACTACCTGATAATAAATGTAAAATCATTAATACTCAACCAGTATTACTGTGCTTCTAATTTTTTACAGAAGCCATATGGTGGAGAGACTCTGTGAGAGTAAAGAAGGTAGTCAATGTGGAGAAACCTTCAGTCCCAGTCTCTGTGTGACCAAGAAGACTGCCAGAGTAAAATTAGATGAATGTACTGTCTGTGGAAAAGTCTTCATGCGTCGTTCGTCCCTTACTAGACACATGAGGTCTCACACTGGATATGAGCTAATTGAGAAGCCATATAAATGTAAGGAATGTGGGAAAGCCTTTAGTTATCTCAAATCCTTTCAAAGACATGAAAGGAGTCACACTGGAGAAAAACCCTATAAATGTAAACAATGTGGAAAAACCTTCATATATCATCAACCCTTTCAAACACATGAACGGACTCACATTGGAGAAAAACCCTATGAATGTAAGCAATGTGGGAAAGCTCTTAGTTGTCCCAGTTCACTTCGAATTCATGAAAGGATTCATACTGGAGAAAAGCCCTATGAATGTAAAAAATGTGGGAAAGCCTTCAGTTGTCCCAGTTCTATTCGAATACATGAAAGAACTCACACTGGAGAGAAACCCTATGCATGTAAGGAATGTGGGAAAGCCTTCATTTCCCACACAAGTGTTCTAACACACATGATAACGCACAACGGAGATAGACCTTATAAATGCAAGGAATGTGGGAAGGCATTCATTTTTCCCAGTTTTTTACGAGTACATGAAAGAATTCACACTGGAGAAAAACCCTATAAATGTAAACAATGTGGTAAAGCCTTCAGATGTTCCACTTCCATTCAAATTCATGAAAGAACTCATACTGGAGAGAAGCCCTATAAATGTAAAGAATGTGGGAAATCTTTCACTGCACGCCCAGCCTTTCGAGTACACCTCAGAGTCCATACTGGCGAGAAACCCTATAAGTGTAAAGAATGTGGGAAAGCCTTTAGCAGGACCAGTTACTTTCGAATACATGAAAGGACTCACACTGGAGAAAAACCCTACGAATGTAAAAAATGTGGGAAAACCTTCAATTATCCTCTAGATCTGCAAATCCACGAGAGGAATCACACTGGAGAAAAACCCTATGAGTGTAAGGAATGTGCAAAAGCCTTCATTTCTCTTGAAAACTTTCGAAGACACATGATCACACACACTGGAGATGGACCTTATAAATGTAGAGACTGTGGGAAGGCATTCATTTTTCCTAGTGCGTTACGAACACATGAAAGAACTCACACTGGAGAGAAACCCTTTGAATGTAAACAATGCGGAAAAGCCTTTAGTTGTTCCAGTTACATTCAGATCCATGAAAGAACTCACACTGGGGAGAAACCTTATGAATGTAAGGAATGCGGGAAGGCCTTTATTTATCCCACAAGCTTTCAAGGACACATGAGAATGCACACTGGAGAGAAACCCTATAAATGTAAAGAATGTGGGAAGGCCTTTAGTCTTCACAGTTCCTTTCAAAGACATGAAAGAATTCACAGTTGTGAGAAACCTCTTGAATGTAAGCAATGTGGTAAAGGCTTCAGTTTATCCACGTCCTTGCAAAAACATATGAGAATGCACACTCGATAGAAACTCTATATATGTGAGAAATAGGGGAAAGTTTTCACTTCTAACAGATACTTTCAAAGTTATGAAAATTTCCAGTGAAGAGAGAAATCCTATAAATGTAAGTAATATAGAAAGCGAGATACAGGATAATTCATGTACAGTCAGGTACCACATAATCGTGTTTCAGTTAGCAATGGACCATATGTAAGTTGGTGGCCCCTTAAGATTATATAAACAGCTAAAACATTTCTACCACCTGCGATTTAGTAGCAGTAGTAACACCACAGCACAGCACATTAAGTGTTTAATGGTGATACTTGTGTAAACCTGTTGCATTTCCAGTTATATAAAAGTACAACAGCTGGGTCTGGTGGCTCACACCTGTAATCCCAACACTGGAAGACTAAGGCAGTAGGATTACTTGATGCTGGGAGTTTGTGACTAGCCTGGTCAACATAGACCCCCATCTCTACAAACAATAAAAACATTTTCTAGGTATGGTAGCACGCCCTGTAGTTCCAGCTATGTGGAAGGCTGGGGCAGGAGAATTGCCTGAGCCCAGGAGTTTGAGGCTATAGTGGAACAAAATCCCATGCTGGATGGCCATCCCGTGTTCTTGATAGAATGATTCTTTAAAAAAAAAAAAAAAAAAAGGCTAGGTTCGGTGGCTCACACCTGTAATCCCAGCACTCCGGGAGGCTGAGGTGGGAGGATCACTTGAGGTCAGGAGTTCAAGACCAGCCTGGTCAAATGATGCAACCTTGTCTCCATTAGAAATATGAAAATTGGCTAGGTGTAGTGGTGCCCCTGTAGTCCCAGCTACTTGGGAGGCTGAGGCAGGAGAGAATCGCTTGAACTCGCAAGGTGGAGGTTGCAGTGAGCCGAGATCCGCTACTGCACTCTAGCCTGGGCGACACAGCGAGACTCCATCTCAAAAAAAAAAAAACTACACAGCACATAGCATTATGTGCAATATATACTTGATAATAAATGGCTATATTACTGGTTTATATATCTACAATATTGTTTTAGAATGTATTCCTATTTTTTTAACAGTTAACTGTAAGACAGTCTCAGGCAGGTCCTTAAGGAGATATTCCAGAAAAAAAGGGATTGTTATGATGGGAGATGACAGCTGCATGTGTGTGAGTGCCCCTGAATGTCTTCCGGCGGGACAAAATGTGGAGGTGGAAGACAGTGATACTGATGATCCTCACCCTGTGTAGTCCTAGACTAATGTGTGTTTGTGTCTTAGTCTTTAATAAAAATAAATAGAAAAAAACTTACAGAATATGGACATAAAATATTTTTGTACAGCTGTACGATGTGTTTCAAGCTAAATTATTACAAAGGTTTTTTTAAAAGTTTATAAAGAAAATAATGTACAGTAAGTTAAGGTTGAATATTGAGGAAAAGGTGTTTTTAATGGATGTAGTGTAACCTAAGTGTACAATGTTTATAAATTCTGCAGTAGTGTGCAGTAACATCCTAGAACCTCACACTCACTCGCCATTCACTCACTCACCAGAGCAACTTCCAGTCCTGCAAGCTGTGTTCATGGTAAGCATCCTATGCAGGTGCATCTTTTTTTGTCTTTTATACTGCATTTTTACTTTGTGTATTTTATATGTTTAGACTCCTACTTAACATTTTGTTACAATTTCCCGCAGTGTTCAGTACAACAATATGTTGTACAGGTTTATAGCCTAGCAGCAATAGGCTGTACCATACAATCCAGATGTGTTGTAGCTGTACCATCTAGATCTGTATAAATCCACTTTGTGATGTTTGTACCATGAGGAAATCACTTAACAACACATTTCTTGGAACATGATTAAGCAATTTCTGACTATATGATGCTTCAGAAAATTCACACCATGAAAGACATGTTATAAAAGTTAAGGCGAGGCATGGCGGCTCACACCTGTAATCCCAGCACTTTGGGAGACCGAGGTGGGCAGATCTCCTGAGGTCAGGAGTTTGAGACCAGCCTGGCCAACATGGTGAAACCCCATCTCTGCTAAAAATAGAAAAATTAGCTGGGTATGGTGGCATGCGCCTGTAATCCCAGCTACTTGGGAGGCTGAGGCAGCAGAATCATTTGAACCTGGGAGGCGGAGGCTGCAGTGAGCCAAGATTGCCCCACTGCAGTCCAACCTGGGCAACACAACAAGACTCCGTCTCACACACCAAAAAAAAGTTAAAAGTATTTTTTATCAATGGCTCATTCTTCAAGTACATGTCTGGACTATGTATGAATTGTGACTTATTTTGCAAGAAATTTTGGAAGCAGGATAATTCTGTAAGAACTCTTTAAGCAGTAGTCAAAAGTTTAAAAGGTTGTGTTTTCTCATTAAATCAATTAGTAAAACTTTTCTATTTCTCTTGATGTCTTGATTTATGGGTAAATTGAAGTGTATTTTTTTCTTGTACTTAAAGACCAGTGTTAGAAGTGTATTTTTAATATACAATTTGTTTTAATTTGTATATTATTTTTCAGTTGTTTGCTGAATAAACAGACTATTGAATACTGATACATTGGTAATTGTAGGATTTTTCCTATGGGCCTCGTGTGGAAGACGGTGCATATATTACCCATTATATATTTATTTTACCTTTCTTTCTTTTGCAAAAAACTACTTTTTAAATTTCTTGGCCAGATATGGTGGCTCACTCCTTTGCAATCCCAGCACTTTGGGAAGGTAGTTTGAGACCAGATACGATGGTCTTGGCCAGATGCAGTGGCTCACTCCTTTGTAATTCCAGCACTTAAGGTCAGGAGTTCGAAACCAGCCTTACCAATATGGTGAAACCCTGCCTCTACTAAAAATACAAAAATTAGCTGGGCATGTTGGAGGGCACCTATAATCCCAGCTACTCAGGAGGGTGAGGCAGGAGAATTGCTTGAACCTGGGAGGCAGAGGTTGCAGTGAGCTGAGATCATGCCACTGCACTCCAGCCTGGGCGACAGAATGAGACTCCGTATCAAAAAAATAAATTAAAACATAATAAATTACTATCAGCTAGAATGCCCTTATTCCATTTTCCTTTTTTTAAAAACATCTAAGTTGGTAAGTATGTAAGTTTATCATACAGTCTTACGTGAATTATTATTTTCACCTTTTGTTCTTTGTAATTCCGGCTGGGATTTGGATAGCAGAGTTTGAATTCAGGAGGGACATCTGTGATAGGATAATAAAATCTAGAGCTGGACATGGCTCTCCTGCTACCTGTCAACACAGGTAAATTTCCTAGACTCTGTTCCCTTTATAGGTCCGTGTTCAGATTCACTAATAGCCTCACTTGCATGAGATCTGCCAGGAAGAAGTGAAGAAGACATAAGTCGGGTATTGGAACCCTACCATACAAGGAGACAGTGCTTCCTGCTTATTTTCCCGGTTATTTTCTCTGCTAATCAAAAGTACGCTGAAAACACACTCAGCTACTTGACTTCCATTCTCAGGAGATGTGTTGGTTTCCACAGTTGTCTCCACAAGCTCCACATCAAAGATCCATCTACAGTTTGGATTTTCCTTCTAGCCTTAGTGTGTGCCCCGGGCATTTAATTCAGACTATCGTGGTTGGCAGTGTTCGCTGAAGTTCTGTCTTCCCTCTGTGAGGTTTAATTTTTATGGTTCTTAGTCTATTAATGCCATTAGGGACTATGTATTCCTGATAGTGAATGAGACTCACTATGTATTCCTGATTCCCTAATGGCATTAACAGAACAGCTACAGTGAGACAGTCAAAAGAAACTGCATGGGAGTTTGTTCCCCTCCTGTGTTACAAAGTGACTACTCTTCCCCCATCCTTCCATTTGAGAATAATCACCTTCCTCATATTGGACAAATGGTGGGTGTTTCCAACTATTGCTGAATGTTCTCCCTCAGTCTATTTTCATTTATGTTTGGTTGTAGGCACCTAAAAATAATGCATTTTTTTGTGAGGTAAAAGCTTCTTAGATATTTCTTAGAAATATTCTGTTAACTGTTTCCAAACAGCATGTATACTACCAAATATTATCATTGGCTGGGTGCAGTGGCAGTGGTTCACTGCTATAATCCCAACAATTTGGGAGGCTGAGGCAGGAGGATTGCTTGAGGCCTGGAGTTGGAGACCAGCCTGGGCAACATAGCAAGACCCCATCTCTCTTTTTTTTTTTTGGAAATAGAGTTTCACTCTTGTTACCCAGGCTGGAGTGCAATGGCATGATCTCAGCTCACTGCAACCTCCCCCTCCCGGGTTCAAGCAATTCTCCTGTCTGAGCCTCCTGAGTAGCTGGGATTACAGTCATGAACCACCATGCCCAGCCAACCCCGTCTCTATTAAATCAAAAATACATAATTATACTGTCTTTTCTGTTTCCTGAAAGGCTATATTAAAATATCCCATTACAGTCATGAATATTCAGATCAACTTTGTCATTTTATCAAGATATGTTCTGACTCAATATTAGCATGTGCATTAAAATTCTGGTATTTTTCCCTGAGACATTTTTTATTCTTATACTTACACATTTTGTCATAAAACGAAATTCTCTTCATGATAGCAGTGGCATTTTCAGTGCTCTATGGCCAGCAATCACCAGGGTCACACCTGTATTCAAAATTAATTACAGTAATACAGTAGTCAGTTCTGAGCCAACATTTTGCTTTCTGTGGTTTTAGTCATGATCAAACACAGTCCAAGACACTTAATGGAAATTTCCAGAAATAAGAGTTTCATGAATTTTATTTATTTGTTTATTTATTTTGAGGCAATCTCACTCTGTCATCTAGGCTGGAGTGCAATGGCACAATCTCAGCTCACTGAAACCTCTGCCTCCCGGGTTCAAGCAATTCTCTCTCAGCCTCCCGAGTAGCTGGGATTACAGGTGCCTGCCACCATGCCCAGCTAATTTTTGTATTTTTAGTAGAGACAGGGTTTCACCATGTTAGTCAGGCTGGTCTCGAACTCCTGACCTCAGGTGATCCACTCACCTCAGCCTCCCAAAGTGTGAGGATTCTCCCCATCTTACACATGAAAAAACCTAAGCACAGACAGCACAGGGTCTTTCCCAAACTCATATAACTCAGAATCATGGACTCTCAAAGTTTTAAAGTTCTAGTGTGTTGTACCACCTGTCAAACTTTTTTTTTTTTTTTTTTTTTTTGAGATCAGGTCTTGCTCTGTCACCCAGGCTAGATTGCAGTGGTGCAATCACAGCTCACTGCTGTCTTGACTTCCAGGGAGGGATCCTGCCTCAGCCTCCCAAGTAGCTAGGACTACAGGTGCATGCCTGCATAAGCAGACAGAAAATTTGAATGAGGCCATGCTAGGTGCCTTATGCCTGTCATCTCAACAGATTGAGAGGCCAAGATGGGAGGATGGTTTGTGCCCAGAAGTTCCACATGACAGTGATTGCACCACTGCAGAGCAACCTGGGTGACAGCGAGACTCAGTGGTGTTAAAAAAAGAAAAAGCAAGAGACATGAGAGAGAAGGAAGGAAAAGGGAGGGAAGGAGAAAAAAGAAAAACAGAACTGA